GTGTATTCTGAACAATTGTTGCTTACTGTATAACAACTGCAGTTGTTACCCATGAGTATGCGCTTAGGCCAGTAATAAAAGTATCTCAGTCATAAAAATATATGAAAAGAAACTTACCAACAACTGTCGGTTCCAAATCTACGAGTACTGCCCGGGGAACGAGTTTGCCAGCTCCTGTTTCATTGAAGAAGGTCTGGAAGGAATCGTCGCCACCGCCAATTGTCTTGTCACTGGGCATTTGACCATCAGGCTGGATTCCGTGTTCCAAGCAATAGAGTTCCCAACAGGCATTTCCCATCTGCACTCCACCCTGGCCTGCATGAATGCTGATGACTTCACGCTAAAATATTTAATTGCAACGGATAGTTGTAATCCAAAAGCCAAGCGAAATTCACAGGCAAAAGGGGGATGTCTACCGTAATTGCAAATAAACAATGTATAATTCAATGATGTACCATATTCTATAAAGCTCTGAGCGTGCGTCGGATAGCCGGTGAATGCTCAAATGAGTCCTCAACGAGGGCGACTTCGCCGTTTGAAAAGACCTGATCGATTAATTTTTCCGTATTCAAATTCTCGCTGCGCAATCAATACTTCGCTTTTGGCGCAGACTACGTGGCCAGATGTCAAGGTCAATTTGTGGTGCACCAATGGGAGGCCAATATTCTGGCAGAAACGTCACAGACAGATTGACTTTTCGTTTTCGAATGTTCGGCCAGCTCTTTTGGTTGGGTGAATAGAAATGACTTTTTGAAACAGAAGAATTTTGTTCCGCGAAGGAAGACTAATTTCTTTTCCGTAATGTTGCCTGAAATTTATCGTTTTAAGTAACTAATTTAACGCAAAATAAGTAAACGTAGTCCTTTAAAATGTGCTTATAAGGACTCAGGAGAAAATGTTTATTGTTTAACTACTTACCCAGACCACATATACTATCACAAGGACAAAAACAGCCTATCAACGGCGAATTCGTGCGGTATTTTAGCCTGCTTGCTTATAAAAAGAAGTCTTCACTTACTCAACGAAACGAAGGATCAACGAACGTCTACACAACGCAGTATCTCCTAATCAAAGTCATGTGTGTTCATTCGTCTGAATTATTGTTGTCAACAGAAATACTCCATCAGCACCTGACATTTCGCATTAAAAATATTAAATTCCTGTTAAATTTAGATCTTCAAAGGGAGTTTGGTGGAGTAACAACGAAGAGTTCATTTAATCCAATCCTTAATAACAATTTTTAGACCAGAAGAACAAAGTATCTCATCAGGATTAAGTAAACAAACCTCTTTCCTATGCTTTTGCGATACATTTTTAATTGCTATGAATAGACCATACTTCAAGATTAAAAGTATAGCGATAAAATCTGTTTTTTTAATCTTAACGTCGTTTTATGTATTTTACTCATACAAAATTGCAAAAATTCACATCCGAGAATTCAGAAGAGCATTTAGCGAGCATATGTAAGCTTTCGATAGGTTCTGATTAGGCCAGTACGTTTATATGGGAACGGGGCACAAGTTAGACATGCGGTCAGTTATGTTTGTTATTTCATGGAAATCATGGGAATGGGGAGGAGGGATCGATAAGAGAAGGCTGATTAGGCGGCGCAAAGGGTTTGGTAGAGTCAGCCAAGGGAAAGAGAGAGAGAGAGAGAGAGAACGTACGGAAGAGTGCAGCTAAGCCATCGTTGGCTATGCCAGGCGCGGAACTTTCAGGAGGTAGTTTTGTCAACATAAGACAGACTTTCACAACATGATAACTTCTGCTGTTGTTAGCAGTCGCTGACCTAGGGACTCGGGGTCGTTTGGTAGGACCTTATAAATGTACTGGCTCGCTTAGAATTCATGGAAGGCTTACGTATGTTAACCACTTGCTCTTGTTAATCACATAAATATTCTCCTGCCGAATTATATATCAGCACTGATTTATAAATGTCATAAATTTTTTGCCGATACAATACAAATGAAACCTTTCATATCTTCTCCCAAAAAGAGAACATTGTTGATCTAGTGTGGTGTTAAACTGCAAAGTTGCCTGTGCAATAATAGACCTAACTAAAACGAATCATCCAGCCCATTTCATGCATAAATGTAGCCATCTTCTGCGGTCGACGTTTACAACGCATTCAGTTTTAGAAAAGTCCACTACAATAGTACTCGTTCATTAATGGTGACTATGTTTTGAACTAGCTCAAGTAGCGCAAGTGTTGCATTACATAGAGTATTGGCAGTAAAGCTTAGTTAATATTCAAAAGTCGAAAACAGTGTTTACGAATTCACACATACACATGGACGCCAATAAATTAGGCAATCACAAAGCTAACTTTTGGCCAGATAGGCTGAACATTTATCTTAATGGATTTAAAACCAGCCCTCACTGCTAGCATAAAGTAGCCACTAGACCAGGGGTCGGCAACGTTTTTGACTCAGAGAACCAAGAAAGCAAATATTTGGAAATATATTTCAGTGAGAGCCATATAATATATTTTAAGATCAAATTAAATTAAAGTTCATCCATAGGTAGTTTTTTTTTCTTGAGCGACTCCATGAAAGATTTGAATAAATCCTCACTTCTTGTGGATCCTTTTATTGGCAGAACAGTGAGATTTTCTTCGCGCAGAGTATCACCAGCAGCACATCTTGCAATCACACTGAACTGCGCCAAATGGCTTACGTCTGTTGACTCATCCAAAGCCAGGGAAAAGAATGGTGCTGCGTTTATGTCTTTCACTTGCCTTTCCTCCATGTGGGTTGCCATCATGATGGTACGCTCATGAACAGTTTTTTGCCGACAGAGGCATGACTTGTGCCCGTTTGATTATCTTGTCTTTGTTCGGAAGATCGTCAAAAGTTTTATTGGCTACATCCTGCATGAACGTTTTAGCATACTCGCCATCTGTGAATGGTTTTCCATTCCTCATTATTGCTAAAGATCCAGCAAAGCTAGCGGAGTTATAGTCACCTTGCTGGGTCCATACACGGAGTTGCTGCTGGCTGGCTTGCACCCTGCCCATTAGCTCTTGGCATGCTTTCTTTCTACTATTTCCCGCCGGGTATTTTGATGCAAACGTATCATGGCGTGTGTTGAAGTGGCGCTTTACATTCGACCGTTTCATCGATGTTACCTTGTCATTGCAAATTAGACAGACCGCATAATCTGCTCTCTCCTCAAAGGCGAATTCTTCGGCCTTTTCGTTCTGAAGTGTACGATACTCCTCACCTCTTTTTTTTTCGCCATCTTTTTTGTTGCACGGAATAATTTTGAACAAATAAGAAAGAGGGAATGATATTTTAAAAAGAAAGCGTATCACCCTCTCTCGAACTTTTTACAATTGGGTCAATTGAATGTAAATTGTCCCCGTATTCCCAAACAGTAGCATCGAAAATATCCTCTCACACCGTTTTGTCTTCGACCGAAAAGTGAAATTATGAAAAACTGAGTATTTGGATGACAACGCACGCGACTTAAAGAAAGGCAAAAACTGCCAAAACGAGATGGCGAACCTAAATACGGAAACTTGGTACACGTGGTTAAATTATCTCATTGTCTGAGACGCAGGCTGTCATACAAGATTTCAAAAAATGGCCTTTAAGGACACCCCGTGGTCTTGACAGTTAAAACAAAGTCGTTTGGCAAGGCTAGATTCGTCTGTGGACCACGAAATGTTCTCATCAACCGGAAACTGAACGACGCGACGAGCTGCACTCGCGTGCTTCCGGTCCGCCACTTAAAACGTCTACACATCCACGCAAACAAACTAAGCCGCCAGTGGTGGTACCATGGTGAACGAAGACGTATGTGGCAAAAAAATAGTGTCCTTGTGATGACGCATGCACCCTGTATGTTCAAATCGAATTCCGGATAGGTCGTGACCAAAAACAGTACCGTTAGGATGGCATCTGGGTCAATGATAGAACGTGGGCTTAGGGAGTCTGGTAAACTACAAGATCCAGATAAAAAAGTACAGTCTCTCCGTTGGCAGCATGCGTATATTGCGCATTTACCCCACAGACACTGATGGATTTCGGCCCAACGTTCGGTTTATGCCTATAGACCTTAAATATAC